TTACGCATGAGTAAACCTCTTTTGTGAACCACACGTGTCACGGGAGTTTCTCTGTCGAACGGGGCAAACCTTACATGTTAGAGGTGACTCTTGTTGGTGGCTTTGATTCTCACCAGCCATCAGTCTCTTTCTAGGAGAAGGGTGAGCTACTACCTCCAGGAACATCTTGTTCATTATGTATTGCAAAAGATGACAGGAGACCAGAAAAAGATGAGGTCGTCCAAAGATCATCTGGATGGAAGGAGAGAGCACCCTTCGTCCCTTACTACAGACTTCATCCACCCAGTGCTTCCAGATGTCTTGGACTACATTCCCATAGTTGGCACTCAGCACGTAGCTGAAGGATCAGGATGCTTGGAGTTTTAGTCCAGCACATCTGGAGGGAACCAGATGGGGGAAGCGGTCTCACTGTTTAGGAAGGAAGCCATACTGTCCAACCAAAGAATTTTGATGTGAAATGGAAATGTCCTGTCAGGTTCAGCCCAAAGAACTCCACAAGACAGTACAGATACAGTTCTGTTGCGTTTATTAGCTTCCACCTAAAAGAAAAAAATCCCTCAAGACTGAATCAAAACTCCCAAAGCCAGCAAGCCACAACACCGCAAATTCCTTAGGGTGGTGCCAGTCTCATCCTCTTAACCTTCCCACGCTCCTGTTGGGGGCTAAGGAAATGCTTATCTCCCCGAGCGCGGCCTTCATCAAGCCATTCCTTCACACGTCCTTAGAGAAGACTTCCTGATTTCTGCAACCAGCTCATATCTTTGGTCAGATAAATCTTTTGCTAATTACCAGTGCTTGTCTACATTATTTAACCCTGAGTTTGTTGTCTCTGCATTGTGTCACTCACTGCTGCTACTGGGAGAGAGACAAGAGTGAGAAAGGCCTTGTTGGGCTCTGAACTGAAATCAGGACTAAATGCCCCCTCCCAGAGAAAAGCACAGAACTGATGCTGGTGCTATAAATCCTTAATTTTAAAGGATTTAAATTAAATTAAGTATGGGGAAGAGACCCACCAACCACCCATCATCCTTTGTCCTGGCCAGGGGTGACCTGGAAAGCACCAGCTGAGAAGCCATCAGGCTCCTGATCCAACTGCCGTTGCATCCTCTTCTCCAGCCTGGCTCCCCAAAATGTGGACAGGCTGGGAGCGGAATAGCGGGTTGCTGAGGCTGGAAGGTGAGCAAACAGCAGAGGGTCCGGCTGGGACTTGCCTCTCCGTGGGGAGGGATCAGTGTTCCCACCACTCCTCTCCTTCTCCTTCCATCTCTCCCAGGACACTCCAGGCCAGAGCCTGCCTCTTCAGAAGAAAGGGTCACATGTAGGAATGACCCTGAGGAACGTCTCATTTCCCTGGGAAGCAGGCAGGGGAGTGAAGAGGCTTCTTGTCACAGGGCTTGGCGTTTCCTCGCTGCTTCATCATCCTTTATTTTATGTAGCCCAGCTGTTTGGAGTCCTGGAGTCCGCCCACCAGCCGGCCATGGCTAGTTTCTCCAGCATTTCAATGCAATGGTGCACAAAGGCCCTGCAACTTGCAAGGCACTGCCGAGGTTGCCCATCCACGTGAGGATGCAGCATCTGGCGAAGGCCCTAAATAGATGCCGCCCATCTTCTTCAGAGCCACGGGCTTTTTGGCTGATGGAGGCAAAGCTCGCACTTCCAGCTGGCTGACCCAGGACAGAAGAATCCCCCTCCTCCGGCTCTCCATCCCCACCCAGCACAGCCATGAAGCGGCCGGGAGGTTCATCTGCTGATGAGATCCCAGTTCAGGAGTCTCTTCTTAGAGCCACTTATTTGGAGTATAATCACAGCCCTTGCCTTACATAAGTCCTACCGGCCAAAGGCCGTTTTGGAAAAAGGACAAGAAGTCCTACAGAATGGGAGAGTAGTACATCATCATCTTACAGCCCTGAATTCGTCTTTGAAGAAAGAATGAAGCATTCTTTCTTCAGAAACAGGTGATGTTTTCACCACACCTCCTACTGGGGGGCAGAAACAGACAAAGTGGCCGTCTGCTGAACCCCACCAGCGCCATCCACACAACCTCTGCACCACTTCCAAAGTGCCCTTTACACGAAATGTCGTCGCAAGCACTCCCAGCTGTTTCAGGAAGCGCACTTCGGAGGGTTGTGGGCAAACTCCTTACAGTTACACTTACAGTTCATTGGCCACTTTGCTGGAGCAGGAGCACTCCTTCCAATGAGTAAGCGCTTGCCCTTGTCCGTAGTACCTTTCTACGTTGCCCTTAGCACGAGTGGTGTAAGACCACCATGGCTATAACTCCTGCTGTGAAAAATGAAGGTTGCCGGTTTTAAATCTGACAGAAGCCTGGGGCCTTGGTGTTTCACACTCAGGTCCTAAATAGCCCATGATGGGGATGGAGCCCCTCTACCTGGAGTGACTGGAAAAATGAAGAAAGGATCCTGTGCTGGACTTAGAAAAAAAAAAAGCACAGGGAAAAATAGGAAGCTTATAGAAAGAAAAATATTTAAAAAAAACAAAACAGTTCCTTCCCATTTCAAACCTGCAACCTCCTGTTTACAGACTAAATTCTTTAATGATTGCCCTGTTGCAGCATTCATGTTAATGGATATGAGAAAGCCACAGACAGTAAAGAAGGTTTGCTTGTTCAAGGTGCTTGCTGGGGCTGTATGAATGAGCATTTTGATGCATATACAGTATCTCTCTCTCACACACACACACACACACACGGGCAGACTATGTGTGAAAATAAAGGTATAGAGATACACACAGACACACACCCATGTACATATGTCCAGGAAGACCCGCCCACAAAGAAACAAAGCAGTTGGCCCTGCTTTCCTGAGGAGAAGGGGGTTGGGGGTGGGGGCAGAGCAGCACAGGAGTTGTCTAGGGGTTCGATGGGGTAGCCTGCTGTCTGGACTGAGCGACTTGCAAGCTGCGGCCAAAGTGTCAGGACGTGATTTGGTAAGCCAGTTTAGGATCAAGCTGGCATGATGATGGGGCAGGAGTCGCTTAAACAGTAAGCCCTGATACGCCCTCCCTTGTAGAACGCCGGCTGGCGCTCGGAACGGGATCACGGGGTCAAGAGAACGAATGAAACAGTCCAGTCAGCTTTACTTAAAAACACCTTTTTAATTAAGCGTGTGGCAGCACAGGTATTTTATATAGTAACAGCCAAGCAAGAAATGTGACTTATACATCATTTATTGGCAGTATAATGTTACAGAGATCTATACTGTCAACGTTTTCAGAGCTTCATGATCAAAAGCCAAAGCAACTGGCATTTTCAAGAAGGGGCTGGCCGACCAGCCCCTCGTTGTCTTCCAAGCCCTCCCCATGTCGGAGGCGGGCTTTGGTCTAGGCTGTGGATGAGGCTTCCTCTTGCGGACGGCTGTGGGGAATGCCTGGCGCATCAGGAAGAGCCTCCGAGACGCGCTCTTGGCTGGCGGGAGACCCGGGGGCCCTTCTGGTGGCAGGAGAAGCTCACCGTGTGGCCGAGCAGCACAGCTTCCGGGGAGGAGGCAGGTTGGCATTTCAGCTCCGGGCCCCTGGCCGGAAAGGCGGGGGGAGGTCTTGGAGGAGGCAAAATAAGCAAACTGAAACTGAGAGAATAATTAGGATGGCTCCTTCCCACACCCAGGCCCGCCGCTCTGAGATCCCACCTGTCTTCGTTTCTGTTCTCTGCCGATGAACTTCCTTCGGAGCTCAGTCTGGGAAGGATCCGGTTTTGGAATGATGCTCTGCTGTCACAGAAGGGAAAAGCAGGGAGAATACTTTCAGAGAAATCAGACAGGTTACTAAAATGGGTTGGAATCAGTGAAGACTTCACACCCCCAGGCCCACGGTGGACATCAGCACCCATCATCTTACAGAGTCAACTGGGACCATATCCCTTTTTGAAAATTAAGAGACCCCAAATTGCTGTGTCAGCTCTAGGGGATTTGGGAGATGGCTTCTCACTGGCTGAGGCAGAGTTTATCAACCTTGGTGGTACCCACTGCAGCCATTGAAAACATGGACAGCCCACCTGGGCACACGGAGCAGCTGCATCTCCAGCACGTGCCAGCTTGCCCTGAGAAAGCCTTTTCATGATGTCCAGGGAGAACCTGTGGATCTAGAGCACCCTTCCCTAACCTGGTGCCCTAAGCAGTGCCTGGGTATTGAAATCCACACATCTGGAGAACATCAGTCTTCAACCCCTTTGAAAGAGTTTAGCTCAAACAGGCCTTGAAAGACCCGTACCTTACGAGCTCATCAGCTGAATGGCCATCCTGGTCAAGTTGCCATCCATTTGAATACCATAGGGGTCTTTCAACGGTCTAGAACTATCCTTGCCCACCAGCTGTCACCTATAATACCCTCCATGGCCTAGGGTCAGGCCACTTGTGAGACCGCTTTCCTCCCATTGTTTCTGTTCACCCCACCAGATCTAGTAGATGGGACACACTTTGGGTCTCCTCTAGGGCCTTCCGTATAAAACAATGTCATCTTGCTGGACCCCGGAGTGTGCCTTCTCTGCCAGCACCTGACTTGTGGAACAGCATCCCCTTGGAGATCTGGATGGCCCAATCCCATTAGCCTTTTGCTGCTTCTCCTGGCTTTAGGCTAGGACCAGGCTGGCTCTGTTGTTGATGTGTTTTTATGAGTGGAAGGTGTCATTTACCCGGGGTGCCAAGAGTTATTGTTTTAATTGTGGGGTTTTAGTCTTTGTAGCTGCCCAGAGTCACTGTTGTGAGATGGGCGGTCATATAAGTTATTTTAAATAAATCAATTAATAAATGTTGGGAGTTATTCTTCTTCATATCTAGAGGGGACCTGATGTATGTCATCGGGACAAAATAAACCAACAAGCTCACATGAATGTCTGGTTCTCGTTAAGTTCATTTACATGGAAGTAACACTCCTGGAATTTACTTTCACGTAAGTCTGCTTAGGACTGCACCAATAAGAGAACCGAAATACAATCCTTGTGCCTGTCCAGCACGCAAGCCCATTTTCTGGGCTTACACGCACAGAGAATGGCACCACCGAATATCGCTGCTCTCTCAGTCTGTACAACATACTAAGCCACACTAAAATGGAGGGGAGGATTAACCAAGGTTGGCCTGTTGTTTGACTTTGAACCAGTCATTGTCTCTCAGCCCAGTCTACCTCCCAAGTTTGTTGATGTGAAGGGAAAATGGAGGAGGGAAAACTACTTATATATCGCCTCGAGTGCCTGGAAGAAAAGTGGGATATATCTGAAAAAGATGGGGATGATGGTGATGATACCACCTACCTACCTCTTATGCCATGCTCTTCTTCTGTTTCCGGCCCTTCCTTTCATCCAGACCCTTCTTAAAGACCGCAGCCACCTTGGATTCAGGAGGGTAGCAAAGTCCACGTCCATGTCTGGTGATTAGCCTGAGTCAGGAGAAGATGCAGAATAGCGTTTGAGCCATCTGTCCACTATCTTCTGCTCCACAGAACCATCACTGCCATCACAAGTCAGTAAATGCTGGGCCAGGAATCTCACATCCAGCTATAAGCCCAAGCCACAGCTAATGCAAGCCATTTTATCTGAAGGGTGGCCCCAAGAGCACAGCCTGGCCCTCTGATAGTTCTTCCTGTCTCCTGCTCTCCAACAAGGAGAAGTAACCCTGAAGAGGGCTGCCAGGGCAGTCTGCAGATGCAGTAAGAGCAGAGAAGTCAGCCCTTATTGCTGCCCTTATGGCCACGGGGGAGCCCCACCTGTGAGCTCGCACTCATTCCAGTCCAATTTGCTCTGGTCTTCCTCCACTGGTGCTCCAGGCCCTTCTTTTGGGCCTTCATCTGCTGATGTTCCTTAGTAAAGCAAGAAACATCCAAGGTCAGCACACAGGAGGGGGCTGCTTGGGGGCAATTCAGGAGGTGGGAAAAAATGGTTGTAGCTCTTGGGGGGCTGATCTTCCATGATCCTGTCCAGCCTCTTTCCAAACCATCTCAGCTGGCCCCCATCACCACAACTGTTGGCATCGGGCTCCGCAGGTGAACCACATGCTGGGTGAAAATGTATTTGCTTCAGCTGGCCTCTCATCTCCCCGTGTTCAATTTCATGGAAGATATCAAACTGGGGATTTCCACCTAGCCAACCTTTTCTCACTCGTTCTAGCCCAACACCTCAACACCTTTGTGCCCAAATTCCTCACAGGGTTTTCCCCAGGTCACAGATACCGTGTCTTTCAAGATCTGTCATGTTGGGCATCCTATTTCCTTGTTCTCCAGTTTTCATAAATAGGTGAAACCTGACTCTCAGCCTGGCCTTCCTAACGATATCTGATCAAGAAGACAAAGATGCAGGCTGTCTTTCAAAAGAAAACTCCAGGGTCTAAAACCTAAATCTTTATTCAAGTTGATAAAATGAGGAACTGAACTCAAGACGGTTGGTTTGCTTCAAAGACTGGGAGCACCAGGATTTAACTTCTGGCAGGGACAGGCTGAATCTGAGACACACAGAAGGAAGGAGTGGCTCAAGACAGCAGGCTTTGTCTTCTGGAGTAAGTGTTCACACAGCACACCCCAGATCATGTTGTGACTGAGTGGCTTCATTCACACAACATACTGAGTTTGATTTGTAGCTTTTCTGTAGCTTACCATGTTGTCTGAACCCAGCCCATGCAATTAACATAGGCTTCAAATCCAGACAAATGGCTTAACTCAATAACTCAATAACCAGGATAAGTGTGTTGTGTGAATGCAGCGGGAACCAGAGTCCATCCCAAACAAGGTCGCCTCCGCTGTAAAGGCAAATGGTGACTTTGTCCCCACGGCTGGTGCCATGTGACTGCCCTGCCAGCACCGTATCACTTCTACAAGGACCTGTGGCTTTCCCAATTTTGGATACTCACACAAATGCCTTGATGGAACACCCTCTGTTCGGCTCCTGGATTTCATAGCGCAGGAATAGCGGCAACTTTCTGATGGAGAGAGGTGTGTCGCGGGTTGACTCACAGCAGTCCAGAGCATTATTCAAAGTGCCTGGAAACGGGAAAGGAGGGGCAGATGTTATTCCAAGGAGAACATGTGGCACTTTCAGGAAAGCTTTTGGCAGCCAGGGAAGCAGCAGACAGCTTGCAAAAGACCCTGGGTTTGCTCTGCAATGGCTTTGGAGATCTTGGTCTAGATCACCGTTTAGGTTTGAATTGGATCAGTTTCCTTGTTCTTTTTGGCTTTAACTTCATCCCTTTGCAAAAGAGGTATCATGAAGTCTGACTGTGTCCATGGAAATGCAGCGAGAGGTTCAAAATGTATTTCAGAAAGAGGTGGCTATCAGTTTTACAGCTGGAACATATTATAAAACCCTAAGCCATAAAACCATGGTTCAAAAGGGCTTTGTAAGTCTGGACTGGCACCGGCAGAAGAGGAATCAGCCCAAGGAAATGGGGTGCCCTGCTTTTCAGGACAGGCAGTCACAGGCACAAGAGTAGGGTGGGAATGATGCCGCTCGGGAGAAGGAAATCCTTAGACCAGCGTTTCTCAACCTCAGGAACGTTAAGTTGGGTGGACTTCAACTCCCAGAATTCTCCAGCCAGCATCTGGGAGTTGAAGTCCACCCATCAGGTTGAGAAACATTGCCTTAGACAGATTCAAGTGCCCCAGCGAATCCCAAGCTGGGCCCTGGGCAAGCACCTGAGGAGGCAAGCATCCCCTTCGGCTGCATGAGCAGCAGTCCCCGTCCGGAGCAGAGGAGGTAATTTTGCCCCTCTGAATGGGCTGGAGCCGCAAATCATTTCGGAAAAGGGCTCCGGGAGAGGCGGACCGGAGCAGGCTGAAGGAGCTGAAAATAGGCTCCGAGGAAGACGGGGATCAAGGGGCAACCTGAGGCCATTTCTCCAGCGCCCAGCAGGTACCCAGGTCAAGCTGCCTTGTTCTCCTCTATTATTTCAGCGGGCGGGGAGAAGAAGTTTGGAGATGGTTAGAAGAGAGATGTCCTCACAATAACTTCTGTCTAAGGGGAAGCAGAGGCCAAGGAGCGACTTGCCAGGGGGGTTCACCTGCCCCTGCAAGGCAGGTCCTATGCTGAGTGGGGGCCAGATGTCCAAGGTCCCTCTGAATCTTTGCCGCAGGCAGGGCTCAGATCAACCTACCCCCAGGTACCCCTCCAAGGGCATTGCAAAAGCTTTGGGGGAAGATCCCCAGGGCGAAGGCTTCAGCACCCAGGGTGCCCGTGACGAAAAGAGAGTGGACGTTTGCAGGAAGAGCGAGAAGGGAAGGGGTTGCTTGTTGCTGCCCTTTGCTAAGGACAATGAACCTGCTAAGGTGGGTTATGTTTTAATCCTAAATTAAATAACGCAAATTCAGTCCTAAAAGGTGGCAACTAAATTTCTGTTGCACCGAGGCAGAAGCTGACCAGATCTGGGCTGAAAACAGTGTTCAGTCTCAGATGCAGGATGCCAAAACAAGCATTTGGCAGAAGGAGCACAGAGCTGAGGATGGCCTGGCAAACCTGCACCTCCATTTCCAGAGAGCTGTTTTGGCTGCCCTCAGTGCGGCCCACCCAGCTGCTGGGACGGGGCATCATTTGCAGGGGAGAGTTCAGGCTCTAAGTGGGCACTGCACTTCCAAGTGCGCTATCGTAAACACACACCTGACAATGACAGGGAGAGTAATTTTGTACTTAATTTTGCACAATGCCATGTGTGCGTTTTTGCAGCCCGTTTTCCCAGTGGTATATATGCTGCATTCTATTTTCTTTAATGCCTGCATTTTAGAGCATGTTTCTGGAATAGTGGAAAATTTGGAGGAGTTGCAAAAGTCTAAAAAAAAGGAAAAGGCTGTTCTTTTTCCCATCTCTTTGGCAAGAGTGAAGGAAGTTGTTCCATATTAAGATGCAAATCGAAGCAATTCCTATCCCAGCCCTCGTGTCTGACTCACCTGCTTCTGCCAGACCCGCTTCAGCTCTAGCCTACTTTGCGAGGCGCTAAGCGTTATGCCTGCACACGGAGAGAGCCCTGCCCGGGCACGGGGGTGAGGTCACATACCTTGGGCTTGGAGGATGCTGAGACCAGCAGCCAGGAGGCAGAGGGCAAGCCGCAGACCGAGAATCATCCTGGGCAGAAGTCAGGGGCTGGGTCTTCCGAGGGTTGTCAGGAGAGCTGGACTGCCTCCTCCTGTCTTCTGCAGCTCCCTATATACCGCCCGGCCTCCTTTCACTTCCCTTTTTCCCTTCCCTTGGCAGCGGGCCAGTTCCTTCCTGCCAGTTTGTGTACTGCGTTGGGGTGGGAGGATGGAGAGGATTCCTGGCACTGTCCTGCTACTCTTGGGAAAACCACCAGATACTTTGTGCAGCTGCCAAAGCCGATGTCTTCTTACCATAATTTATTGTGCTTATTTATTCAATGTTAATTGTTGATTCTAGTAAATACCATCATTTCAGTCCTAAAAAGAAACGATCCAGATTCCAAGGGATGCAGCTTCTCCTCCTCTCCATCCCCTCCTCAGATTCTAAGATAGCTGGAGAGCAGATGGGATCTTCCAAAGTTGGCTGGCTGGAGGGGAGAGGAGCTCCTCTTCTGAGCAGGAACGCGACGCTGACTTCAGCCTTGGGAGTGGGACGGGCACTCCAGCAGCACAGACAGCCTCATGGCCCAGGCAGGCTGGCATCCTTCTTTGGCGCTGCCCTGGGCATTCCCTTTGCTTGGCCTGGCACCTTCCCACGCCTGCTCTCTTGCTCAGCTGACCCTCTCCCCGCGGGCTCTAGGCCCACCGGCCCACGGGAAGGAAGCCCCGGAGTCTTATTTTCTGGCACCTGGTTCTGCAACAGAGCTCTCCAACTTGGTGCCCTCCAGATCAGTTGGGTTCAAAACCCCACAATTCCAAGCTTGAATAGGGATATTTGGTGAGCGGCTTAGCTCTCTACCTTTTCTCCAAGTCTTCAAATGGAGGTCCTTTTTAAAAAGAGAAAAAGAGTTTTCTGTGCCATTGTTTCCATACAACATAACTTAACAATCCCCCAAATACCATATGGGAAGTTTCTCATATTCTCTCTACCACCATCTTGCTGGTCTAACCTCTCCCTGAGCATGGAGGGGGGGCTTCTGCCAGTTCGTCTAGCATGGGAAAAAAGGCTGCTCTCGGGCCATTTTACGGGTTCACTCAGTGCCCTGAAGTATCAGCTAAACACATGGGTTCGTGGAACACCCTGAGCCACAAAAGAATCAGCCATGGTTAAAATTCACCAGGGTTCTCTTCAACTTGCACAGCCGGCCACAAGATCATTAATTGACCCGGTTAAGCTTGAAGTGCAAACAGATCTGGGAATTCCTAATCCAAACATCCCTCCAAATGCTTTTATTTGCCCTGATTTTGGCCTTTACAGCAATTAATTACAAATTCATAAAATAAACTTTAAAAACACAATGAAAAGCATCCATCAATGATGAAAATGAACAAGACAGTGAGAGGGAGCCAGACGATTAAAACGTCACCATCATGCAGCTAATTAAAAGCCAGGGGGTCAGGAAGGGCAGGAGGAGAGAGATGGACTCAAGACAGGCACAGACAAAACGCTGGCGGGGGGAGGCCACCCTTTGGGGGCTGGGGCCAAAGCAATGTGGGACTTGAAACCCGCCCTTGGAGAGAGATGGGCCACCAGCACGGCTGCTCCGGACCCCCATCCTCTGCTCACACCTCTGCAGCCTCAGGCCACAAAGGATGTCCTACCCAGAAACCTGGGGGCAGAGTTGGTTTGGCCCCCGCAGGAGAAGCCAGATGCGCTCCCTCCTGGGGGTCTCCCGCCTGAGCGGCCCTCTCGCTGTCTCTCAACTGAAGGGAGCAAAAGGCACCTCCGGGCTGTGCCGCAGCGAAGCTCAGGTCCGAGCAGAGAGGCAAGGCGCCCCACGGCTGAAGAACCAGGGGCCTCTGGCCTCAGAAGGGGCGGCCACAGCGGCTTCAGCCACCCCAAAGGGCTTTGCAAAATCGGTGCTTGCAAGAGTTCCCCTGCAGGGCCTGGGCTCCTGCAGCCTCATCACCTCACCTTTCTGGAGAGATGCAACCTTGGCATCTCCTGCGTCGCCAGTTTCTCCCACTTGCGCCAGCTGCAGCGCAAGGATATCCTCCCTGTGTCGTCTGAATTCTCCAAGAGCTGCTCTCGCCTCTCCGGGTCAAACGCTGAAACTAGGGGGAATTTCCTCTCCCATCTCAAGCCGCAATTTGCTTGCAGACCTAGAAGCTCCTTTGCGGAATTTCTCTGGTGCTCACCCTCCCTCCGTGGAGTGAGCCTCCTGCTTCGTTTTCCTCCTGTTGATTTTGCCATTTCCATTGTCAAGAGTTTCCGCTCTGCACAGAGTTCCAGTTCTATGGCAGGAACGACGTCACTTTTTTCCCAGTTTGCCTTTTATTGCCATTTCTTTTTTCTTCTGTTTGTTTCTTCCACTCCCAGTAGCTTCTTCTGGCCGATTTATTCATTCAATATCCATCCCAGCTTCCCACTCCAGTGAGCACTCAAGGCACCACAAAGTTTAAAAACACAACACAACGTAACACCGCTAGACATAAAATAAATTCTAAAATCATTTAATAATGACATGCCTGGTGACAGACATCCAGTTGTGCAGGCTGCCCTAAGAGGGAGGGCAGGCGCAACGCAGCTGCTGAGCGGTCACCTTCTGTGGCAAGGAGTGAAACGGGAGGAGGCCTCTCCCATGTGCCAGAGAGACAGGCAGCCCTGGGACACCTGCAAGAGACCCTCTCCAGACCCTCTGGACAGATGCAGAGAGGGGTCCCTTAGGTTGCTTCTAAGGGACCTAAGCTAGTTATTCTAAACAATTTAAGGCTTTAAAGGCAGTACCAGCTCCCTAAATTTGGCCCAATAAGCAACTGGCAACCAGCATAGATCTTCTGGGACAAGCTTCCTGAGATCTCTGTAGCTTGTCCCAGTTAACAGTCCAGCTTTTGGACCAATGGCTCCATCTGGACCCTTTCCAAGGGTAGGCCCACATACAGCAAGCTGCAGTATTCAAGACAGATGTAACCAGGGCCCAGATGGGTTCCCTGGGAAGGGGTGCAGCTGGGGCAGCAAATACAAATCATTCAACGTGCTCTTCACTGCAGCTGCACCTGCGACGCCCATGACAGCTGAGGAGCAAGAGACCTTCTCAGGGAGAAAACCTGCTTTTTCAGGAGGAGTGACACCCATCTAATGCAGGTCTTGCCCACCTGCCATCTCCTCTCGCTTGACTTCTTTGGTGATGCATCGGAGGCCCATTGCATTCACCTCTCCACCACAGCCACTGCCCGCCTCATGCCCTCCAGCCAGACCCATCTCTAGGACTCCATGGGCACTTTTGTGGTTTCCTTAGAGCCTCCATCTGCTCTGGAATTAACAGCAACTTCGTTCAGCACCTTTTCAAATGCAATTAGATTTGGAGCATAGGAAGCTGCCTTAATAGAAATTGGAAAGAATTCCATGCAAGGAGCAAATGTGGATAATTTCCATGCTGAATCTAGAGGAGGACAAATGCAGGATGAATGTTGGATTAGCGCTCTTCCTTCCTTGGGACCAGTGGGAATAATAATACACATTTTCCAACCTTCTAAGGCTGCTGATGGGCCTCCTTTGCATAGCAGGACAAGATTTGGCTGTAGGAGGAGGACAGGCTTCTTCCCAGAACTTCCCAGGTGACCAGTTGACATTGGGTACTGTCTGTCCATAGTGGGGCTTCTGGTCTGGCCTGGAGCTGGGTGACCAAGGACCTCCGTGGGCAGATCAGTGATGTCAAGTGGGGGAGGCCTTGCCATGTCAGTGGATAAAGCTAAGATTTTCTGCTTTTTCCTGTGTTTTGGAGGGGAGTTTTAGGATAGGCTGCGTCTTTTTAACCTTTAGCCTGTTTTCAGACTGACCACGCATGCTTCTTAACTCAACAGGACAGAAAACCATGCTGCTGATTCTCAGTGACTGTGGTTGAAGCTGGCCCTGGATGGGGACACCAAATGGGTTCAAGGGTCTTGTTGTGCCCATGGCGTGAGGCGGCCCACCCCAGGATGCCACGACATGCAGTGGCTCAGCAAGCTCTCAGTCTAGGCCCTTTCCCAGCCCAGCTGATGCTTATAGGACCCTTTGGCACCCAGATTAGAGCTTTCCACCTGGGGAAACAGGGGGGAGGGTAGACTTCTGCAATCCAGAACTAAAGCTGTGGGGTTATGCAGGGAACAGCAGTCTCAGATTGGTTTAATTCTGATAGCTTTGCGTTTGTTTTATGGGATTTTTTCTGCACGAGGACTGCAGCTTTAGCAGGTGCCAGCATGCTGAACTTTTGTACGCTTGATAACTAATCTTAGGAATTAAGCAAACCTACACAAGAGTTCATCCATTTGTACTTCTATCCGTTTCTCTATGGTTTGTTGGCAGCGAAGTAAAAAAAAAAGTTTAAATTCAGACTGTGAATGTGCCACCCTTCATAGTTAGTAACAAGGGAAAGAGGTACAGTGCCGTAGTCACTTTTTTCTCTCTGGGAAAACAAAAAAACAAAAATCGTCTGCCTCGGATCTTCCAGCGGCGCATTCGTTGCGGCTGCCACCGAGTCTGTCCCCCTGGCCGCCGGTGGTCCCCTCCTTCCCTCTCCTTCCACCCTTCCAGCATCAGAGCCCCTCCCGAGAGCTGGGTCTTCTTCGTATAACGTGTCTGCAGCAGGATAATTTGAGCCTGGCCATTTGGGCCTTGAGTGAGACCTCTGGGTTGACTTTCCAAATCAGGAGAGTGATGCTGGGAGCAAAACCAATGGATCCTGAGTTAACGGGACTACGCTTTCATTCTGAAGAAAATAAAGAAAAATTTAAAAAGACCCCCAGCACAGGGAGACCATGTGGTGGAGGGTTTAGCGGTGAGATCTGGTTTCCAGCCCTGCTGATCCATCCACCCCACGGGGTGCACATCCTTCCCCTCCAAGAAATCCAGCCTTCCTGGTGTGCCTCTCGGAGCGCATAAAGGGGGACCAGGAGCTGCCCCACACATGGCTGCGTGGAGGCCGCCCATTCCATTCCATTCCATTCCATTCCA